GTTGTTGTGTGTGTGTGTGTGTGTGTGTGTGTGTGTGTGTGTGTGTGTGTGTGTGTGTGTGTGTGTGTGTTAACAAAACTGATTATATTCATGACAAAACGTAATGCGATTAATTTTTAAACATATCTTTTCTTTTAATAAAATATATCAAAATAAATTATTTTACAAATAAGTTATTTTATCAATTGAGTTTATTCAGACTTAAGGATATGATTTTCCATGACACATTGTCATATTACCGTAAAATGAAATATATCGATAGAGCCATGTCACCTTCGTGCTTGACGAGACTAAAAGAGGATAGAATTCGGGTGATTCGGATTAGGAGGCGGCGACATTTCGCAGAGGAAAGATTAATCGCGTCGTTCGTGTCGAACGAGTTTGGAGAGCGTGAAATCCCTTAGGTCAGTAGTGGCCAACCTTTCTCTAATGTGCGCCAGCCACATTTCAAATGTCGTATTCGCGTGCTTTATCTAATGTCTTTTATAAGGTTATTACATTATCCAGAACCGCACATAAAATCTAAAACTATCCGTTCTCTCTTTTCTAATTAGGTGATTAAGTGCCATTAAAAGGGAATTCTCTTGTCATCAGAGGCACGTGTCGCCGATTGGCCACCTGTACACGTCAAAATTTAAAACGTACATCTAACTCGCTAATTCAACATTTGCATAAGCGAATTCCTGCACGCAATTCCAAGGGAAAACGCATTAGCTCTTGCAAGTCCCTCCTCGCAAGACGATTGCGGGTTCTCGTCGTAAGAAAGAGATCCATTGTAGAAATAGTTGTGCTAACGAGCCGGAATCATAATTATTTTCCGCAATCCTTATCGCCGGCTATTCGGCGCACGTCCGAGTCGCACGGGAGCGAATGAACTCCGCCAAATGGCGGCAATACGTAACAGCTAGTCTTAATAGGTATTATTACGTGGAAAATCTGTTCCGGGCTGTCGTGCGCTTCAGGCAATCGCAGTCATCTATTTCGTTAAGCCTCCTTTGACTCCCTGAAATGAATTTTACGAGATTACATGTTGCGTCAGACCGCGTCTGATACGGCACATTATTGCGAACTACGTGCAAGTTTGTTCCGCCTTGATGTGGACAGTTACTTTCTTCTCTCCATTATCTCTAATCCAGGCGCAGCATCATTTACCCGGCCTGCAACGAATTCTGAATGAAGGACGATTTATTCTAAAAGGTTAACGTTTACCATACTTGCAAGAGGGAAGTTGGATGGAGTGTAAAGTGAATCTGTGTCGATTAACCACGGGATAAGGCTATTTTTATAATCAAATCAATCTTCACGTCTCGTATTTATACCAAATTACGTAATTCTGTTGTGTCTTAATGTAACGATGTCCGGCTCTTATTCCCATCACGGAGCATCACGGAGACATTATGAGAGAAATTATCTCTCGAGTTTCCTTATCATCCACAATCCTCTAAGCTCCTATATGTCTCGTTCGTCAGATCTGCGTAGCGTTTCTTCGATCACGCGATTCCTCGTTCCGCTTATCTCGTGAGATATCTTATAAATAGAAGTCCGAGCGAGCGAGAAGTGCGGAAGCGACAGCCGGTCGATCCTGCCCGCGTGAGTTTTACACTCGAATAATTCCGTGCATCTTATCGGATCATTACGGTGCCAAGGATGCAGCCTCGGGCGGTGTATTCTTGGACTGATTCCTCCTCCATCCCGCCGCGACAATGAAATCCCGGCGTTTCTGTTCCTTTTCTCGGACACTCTTTCTTAATGGACACCGGCGTCGCATCGCGCACCAAGTTCAACGATCCGGCACCGTTGCTCTTCTCTCAGAGCAGGGAGAGACGACACTGTCTCTGTGTCGTCGGACGGAATGGCGAGAATTTTTGGCTATTTTCGACTTCAAAGTCCCTCCTTTTGCGATCTCGCCCTCCCGGTCTCCTGGCACTCCGGCTCGTCTGGCTCGCTTCAAATGCTTTATTTTCGCGAGTGAATCGCTTGCGAGTCGCGAGAGCGGAAACCGGTATATAAATCCCTATCGCTTCAATTTCTGATGTCGCGGAGATAGGAGGGAAATCTGATGGCGTATTTATATCGTTAAGCGCCACTGATCTCAAGTTTTGTTTGTCTAATATATTACTCGTCGATAAAGGAAGAGAATCGGGCAATCGTGTTTAGCGTCACCAAGTGTGACGGTGCCGGTTTATGCCATTCGTTGCCTTTTCATTGCCACGAACCGGCATAAAGAGTTTCTTGTGCGCATCCATGGAAGTTGAAATATAAAGTCAGTCAATACTCTAATTTCAATCTATGGACTCTCTATGTCGTCGTACGAGCTGTAAGCAGAACCTGGGAGTGCCCGACTGATCGAACGGGAAACAGAGACGACTCTATCATCTCGGCATTGAAAGCACTTACACGGCGATGAAAAGCTCTACGGAAAAAGGAAATCGCGGACCAGTCGTACCGGAATTTTTGTCTTTCTCTTTCTCATTCTTGTTCTAAGTAACATTTTCATTACTCGTCTCTCCCGGACGAGAAAAGTTCGTCATTAACCTCCAGTGTAGCCACTACCATTTATCACGGTGACATTTGCCAAGGGAAAGAAAGAAAGAAATAAATTTCAAGAAGAAAAGAGAAATAGAGGAAGATAAAGAACGATAGAGAGAGAGGCGATGCGAATTTAATGATAGATAATAGATGGATAGAGGCAAATCCGAAGAATTTGTTAAAAAGATGATAAATCTTTCTTTACTTTGTTTATGAATGATAATATAGTAAAAATATATAATTTAAAGACATCAAACAATTAAAAATGCTATTAATTGATTAATAATATTATTAGATTAAAAGTACCCAAACAACTTGTCTAAAAGATATCTTAAAAGTATCCTAAAATCATGTTTCTTGAGAATTTTGAAAAAAAAAAAACGTTTTGTTATCTATTTACATTTCTAACATTGAAATCTAAGAAAATTTTAATTTTAATTTTCTCAGTTTACCCTCGATGTATCTGGCTAGAAAAATATACGATGATCGTGAAAAATCTCACACTATAGAAATCCTCATTTAATCAAACGTAACGTTGCGACAAGTTTGGTTTCTTAGCGTCATTTTTGAACGATGTTTGTCTCGTTCCGCCCTTGACCGTGACAAAGTGTGTTGTCTATTTAATAAATTGCGTCCCTGATATGCGGCAGACATAGCCTGTAGAGAGCGATATAACTTGATCGGACTTGGCCCGTAACGCGATACACGCGAACGCTTCATTAATGCCGATTGAAAGTAAAGAAATTAGTTAATAGTGTGCATTGATTGCTCGAAGTTTTCGCTATTGCCTTTTACATTCAAATGGACGAACCATAATCCACTTTCTCAGATTGCACAGCTTGTCATTTTTTTTTGCTATAGTAATAAATTTTGTTCCACAAGAGGAAAGTATTTATTATTAAAAATAAATTATAGCAATCAATCGTTTGCTTGTTATTTATTAGACGAAAAAGATTTAAGATATCTAATTTTTAATATATTTATCTAAATTTAATATTTAATATATAAATTGCTCTAACATATTTATCCCCATTGATAAATTTATCTCTAAGAATACTAGAAACTATTAAAACTATGTTTGCTCATCAAATCTTAACTTTTTAAACAAAAAAGAGTACTGAAACAGTTGACGTAGAGAGTTAATCGTATTAATATTTTAAAGTGCCAGAGAGACTTACTCTTCTATATTATCAGCAAGCTTCATAAAACTAACTCAATATCCTGCATGCAAGAAAGAGAAAGAGAGATAATGTATCTCTCAACATCTCCCGAGTATTTCGCGAGGGAGTTAAATTCATGGCAGTTTCGCTATAGCCGGAAGAATCCCAAGACTTTGGATATATCGTGATATATCGATCTACAGCGCGATCGTCGACGCTTTAAACAGAAGACGAAGGTGTAGGAAAGGTAACGGGGCGGCGATGGCGATTCCGCTTCGCAGACACGCCGTAAGCCGGGAAAGCCGTAAGCCGTCGACCGGCGGAATTGGCAGAGAGCATCGGGAAACATCAATAGTCAGCCTCGCGGCCGTCAATCGTCGCACGTAATACACTCGCGCGCGCGATGCCGCCGCGCCGCGCCGCGTCGCGCCGCGCCGCGCCGGCTCTCGGCTGTCTCCGGCCGGGCTCGGCCGGCCCCGGCCGCCAACATTGTCCCGCGTTGTCAGTCCGCGACGAGCCATCGTATCGGGTGTTCGTTGCGCGCGCGCGCGCGC